CTAGATGGGTTTTTTGTGTTTCTTTTTGGGAGGAAGATTCGCCCTGAGCTAACATCCAGTACCAATCTTCCTTTTTTTTTGCTTGAGGAAGATTAGCCCTGAGCTAACATCTGTGTCAGTCTTCCTCTACTTTGTATGTGGGATGCTGCCACAGCGTGGCTGATGAGTGGGGTAGGTCTGTGCCCAGGATCCTAACCTGCAAACCCAGGCTGCTGAAGTGGAACGTGCAGAACTTTAACCACTTGGCCACAGGGCTGGCCCAGCCCAAGATGGGTTTTTTGTCTGGGGCTGCCTGGAGGAGGAGGCAGTGGGTGCCTGTGCTGCCGCTATCTCAGTCTGACTCAACTCTCGCGGCCCTGTGCCTGTGCGTGCCGTGGAGCAGCTCTCCTCCACAGTCCTCCGCAGCTCTCAGCACCCCCCTCATCTGCCACCCTCTGCTGTTGGCTCTGCCTGCTCTCAAAATCAGGGAAATTTCTCCTCTTTTGGAGCCTCTCCCATTTTCTTTGCTGTTTTGGTCAAGGTTGGTGGGGTGTTGTTGGGGCGTGTGTGTGTATAAAACCTGCCCCCTGTCCACGGCGCCATGCTGCCTCCCACTGTTTAATGGGATTCTTGAGCAAGTGCCCAATGGGCACATTTTCTGTTCTTGTGCCCAGAAAATCTCTTCCTTTTTCCTCGGCCTCCCGAAATCAACATTGGCGTGACTGCCAGACTTTGTGCCATGGAGCTAGCTCCATTCCCTAAATAGCTGATCCCCAAGCAGCAACATCCTCGGGCCTCGGCTGCAATTTACAGCTAAGACCAGGGCAGAGGGTGCCAGCATGGGCACCCATGGCCTACAGCTCTGGGTGGACAGAGCGTGTGCTGCCACCAGCAGTTGCATTGGAGTTGACAAACTGTCAGGAGTAACAGGAGTGCTGAGGAGGTTTGGGTCTCCACCATCGCATGTTGGACTTTCCATTCATTCCAAAAAAACATACTGAGCCCCTGGTATGTGTCAAACACTGGGCTAGGTGTCGGAGGGAGTGATGGCCAACTAGAGAGAGAAGGGCCTCGCAGGGCCTACTCGGATGGCCGCCCTCAGTTCTTACCCCAGCCATACCCATTGTTGGGCTCTCCATCCCACAACACAGAAAGCTCCAGGAGGGCAGAGGCTGTCTGTGGATCTCGGTATCTGACAGGGAGTCAGTGTTCAGAAAACCTTTGAACGAATGAGTCTGTTGGAGTTTTGTTGAGCTCTTGAGGCTACTGGGGAGCACCACAGGAGTTTGTGAGGGTTCACCTGGTTAGCTTTCGGCTCTTGGGAGATCATTCAGGCTGCTGTGGGAAAACAGGGGAGTGGGCAGTATGCCTGGGTCAGGGGGAGAAAGATGAGGACGGAGAGGGAGCTGGTGAGGAAGCCTAGGCGAGCCACGAGGCAGGTTGGCCTGGAGACTGGAGCTCAGGGAGTGGGTGTGAGCGATATGGAGGACTTTGAGACTGGGTGTGGGAGTGGGAAAGAGAGTGGGTGGGGTAGGCAGAATTTCTAAAAGGCCCCCCAGAGACCTCCTGCCCTAGTGCCCGGAAGCTGTGGGTGAGATGAGATACACTCCTGTGGGTATGTTATGTTACTTGGCACAGTTGACTGTTCTGCATTATCTGGGCTGACCCCACGTAATCACACAAGTCCTTAAAAGCTGAGCGCTTCCTCTAGCTGGTGGCAGAAGGGAAATCAGAGAGATTTGAACCTGGCTTTGTGGATGGAGGGGGCCAGGAGCAAGGACCAAAGAGTAGCTGCAAGGACCTGAGAATGCCCCCTGTCCCACAGGAAACGGGGACCCCAGTCCTACAACCACGAGGAACTGAATCCTGCCAACCACAGGAATGAGCTCAGAAGAGGTCCCTCAGCACCAGATGAGATCACAGCAAGTGGAAACTTTGATTTTAGCCTTGTAAAGTGCTAAGCAGAGAACCCAGCCTTGCCATCCTGGACTTCTGACCTGCAGACATGTGAGAGAATAAAAGCGTATTGTTTTAAGGCACTAAGTGGTCATATGTTATATAACAACAATAGAAAACAAACACACCGGATTTGTGGATACATTCACTGAATTGAAAATAAAGGTGGAGGGGCAGGGCAGGACAGGCTGGCAGAGAAAGGAGGTCCTGGAGGACTTGCAGTGGGCAATAATTGTCCCAGCCCCATAAGGTTGTTGAGAGGATCAAATGCATAGAAGGTAAGTGGTGGATAGATGCTGGCCGCTGTGGTTGTGCCTGGATCTGCGCCGAGACCCAGGTCCCAGGTATGGGTGGAGATCTGGGGGCTGCTGCAGAAGGTGATTCCGGGAGGTGCACAGGGATAGTGAAAGCGGGTGACATTGCCACTGCCCAAGCCCCACTGCACCCCCTGGGGCTGGGGTCTGTCACGTAGGCCAGTCCTAGCCCTCTCTGGCCAGGAGCCCAGGTCTCCTCTCCCTTGAGTGTACACTCACCCCGTGGAGCAGTAAGGAACGACCAGGAGTTGAAGATGGCCGGCTCTGGTTATGAACTTCTTGTGACTGTGCTCTCTTGACAACTGGTTTCTCGCTTTGCCTTTAGGGGTGTGGGACAGGGAGGTCATGGTCCTAATCCTAGAATGTGAGAACCGGAAGTGTCTTTGGGACCTCTGTTGCCCCTCCTCCTCTCACAGAGGGCAACGATGAGGCTTGGAGAGGCAGGGACTTGCCCTGACCACAGAGCAAACCAGGGACCAGGCTCGCCTTCTCTCTCCCTCATTCAGTCCTGGGCTCTGGCTTCCAGTCGGGGATGCAGAGAGGCATGTAGCCAGTTGTCTCCTCCCTAGTCCCATACTCCTTCTCCACAGACCCTGATACTCCAAGGGGGGAATGGAACCCAAGGCTGCGCGGCTTCTGTCTGTTTCATCTTCCTTTTCTACACATGGGAAGGAGGAATCTGTGTTTTCCTTCATGAGGAACAGAGAGATGACCAGCCAGGCTAGAGTGGAGCAGACTGGGGGGAAACTGGGTTGGGTTGAGGGTGTCTCTCCTTGACTGGGAGACCTTGGGTGTCAGAGTCCTTTCAATTTAGCTCCGGAGTTGGCTAACGTTTTCTATTAAGGGCCAGATGGTCAATGTTCTGGGCTTTGTGGGCTCTACCATCTCTGTTGCAACTATTCATTATTTACAACAACAGGCGGCGGGCTGGGTTTGACCCATGGGCCGAGTCAGCTGTAGTCGGCTGATTTGGGTGATGGCGGTAGTGCTGCTGCTGGTGGCTTTCCCTTCCCTCACCTCCAGTTGTCGTCATTACCATTATGTGGAGCCTAATTGCGGAAGGTCTTTGGGACCTAAATCACCAGCTGGCAACACAGAACCCTGAAGAGGTTTTTCTAAAATAGTAATATGATTTTTTGTTGTTTTCTTTTTAGTTTTTAAAAATTTGAATAAGTAATACATTGACATGGTTCAAAATTTCAAAAGTGACATGGTTTAAAAATTTATATCAAAAAGTTGTACAGTGAACAGTGTCCCTCCCTTCTCTGTTTCAGTTCCCTATTTTCCAACAGCAAGCCGCCGGTGAGACCCGTTTCCCACGCCACCTTCCATAGGCATCTACCTATAGATTCACAAATGCTGTTTTGTCCCCTTTTTACAGAAATGGTACAACATTGTGCATCTTGCTTTTTGCAATAGGAGATTGTTCCTATAAAATTGTTGGTGTTTTTATTAGGACAGCATTAACAAATTAATTTATCAGATGTCACGGGGAGGTTTGGCATCTTCTTGACGTTGAATCATCTTATTCAGAAATGCAATAGGCCTCTCCATTTGCTCAGATCTTTGGTATGCTCAACATTCCATATTTTCCTCATCTTTATCTTGAATATTCCTGTGTGTTCCTAGGTGTTTGAGCCCCTTTCTTCTTTTAAATCTTCTGATTGTTGTCGGCATATATAAAAGCCACCTTACTGAATTCTCTTGTAGTATAGAATGGTGTTTGGGTTGCTTCTCTTTGGGTTTTCTGTATATGTACTCATACTGTAAGCAAATGATGATGAGCAAATGATTTCCTGTTTTTGTGCCTCTAATTTCTTTCTCTTGTCCAATTGCATTAGTTGTACCTCCAGAAAAAGTTACGTAATAAGTGGAAAAAGACAACTTTGTATTGTTTCTCACCTTAATGAAGTGCTTCTGGAAGAAGAAGTTTGAGTTGTTTTTATAAATGTTTATCTTATTCTGTTTTGTCAAGAATGTTTACTAAAAGTATGTGTTGAAATTTTTCAAATGCCCTGTTAGTATATATTGATAACACTGGTTTTTTCTCATTTTATTTATTAATATGGTGCATAGTATTAAGAGGGTTCCTGACATTAAACCATCCTTGCCTTTCTGGAATAAGCTTTACTTGATTATGATCTAAAATTATTATGAATGTGCTGTCGAATGGTACTTGCTTGTACTTAATAGCATTCTTGCATCAATATTCACAATTCAGCTTGGTCTATGGTTTTCTTGTACTGGGTGTGTCAAGCCTGGTGCCTGAGATGACCTCCAAACAGAGGTGTGGAGGAAGCCATGGGACCTGTGCGTCTGGAGCTCATAGGAAAGGGCTGGACTCGAGCGAGAGATTTGTGAGTTGTTTGCGAGGAGGCGGTATTTTGTGCCGAGAGACTGGATGAGATCACTCAGGGACTGAGCGGATAGAGATGAAGAGAGTACCAAGGACTAGCCTTGGGGTTCTTCAATGTGTTTGAGATTCATCCTTTGAAGAGGAACCAGCAATAGAGGTGGAAAGTTATTTGGCAATAAAGAGGAATGCGGTACTGGTACATGTTATAATATGGATAAACCTTGAAGACATTATGCTAAGTGAAAGAAGCCAGACACAAAATGTCACATACTGTATGATCCCATTTATAGGAAATGTCCAGAATAGGCAAATATTTAGAGACAGAAAGTGGATTAGTGGTTGCAGGGGCTGGGGGGAGGGTGGGGATGGGAGTGACTGCTAATGGGTAAGGGGTTTCTTTTTTGGTGATGCCAATGTTCTACACATACATTGTGGTGCCTGTTGCCCAACTCTGTGAACATGTTAAAGCCATTGAATTGTGCACTTTAAGGGGGTGGATTTTATGGTATGTCAGTGATATCTCAATAAAAATGTAGGGAAAAAAGAAACTGAGAAGTGGCCAGAATGTAGAAGGAAAGTCCTTCTACATCAGCATGAGGAAGCTGATCCCATCCCAGGTCAGGGCTCAGAGCCCCACTAGTGGGAGGCTGGTTCTCACCTTTTTTGGCAAAATGGAGGAACGTTAATTGGGGACAAGAGTACTTGCTGGCAACAAGTTCAATTCTAGGACATCATTCTTCGTTGCTGGAAATCCTTCTGACCTGGCAGCTGAAGGGAGGGTCAAGGTTAGAAAGAGCTCTTCCCCAGCAGGAGAGGAGTTACTGACAGGACATGTCAAGGGAGAATGGGTGGGCCAGGTGCCAGAGCCTCGACTAGCCCAGCATCAATCACTGATCAGGCAGACCTTGGCCAGGGAGAGAGGACAACTGGAGCTGGTTCTGGAAAGGCAAAAGCTAGTGGAAGTATAGGGCAGATGAGCAGGGGTATGCCTGCGAGGAGGCTCTGCTGAGACAGGGAGCAGGCAGGATTAAGATGTCAAGTGTCAGAACTGATGAAATTCTTTCATGGGGGTTGAGTGGGAAGGAACGAATGCTCCTGAAAATCTGGCCCATGCCTCTCTAGGCCAGTTGGAAGTATTCTGGGGGACTCCTGCATGTGTAAAGAGCTAGGCCAGGCCCCAGCCTGGAATTGGTCCTCACCTGGAGGGACTGGAGCTGTGTGCATGCCCAGGTCACCCACTGGGCATGCAGAAGTGCTGTGGTCAGACCCAGGGAGGGGTAGAGCTGTGAGCAGAAGGCATGGTGGGGCGGCAGGGGTGTCAGCTTGGAAGAAACAGGATTCCGAGAGGAAGTGGAGAGGCCATTCCAGGTAGATGGAGGTTTGTGCTGCCAAAGTGATCTAAGGTGGAGGCTGCTGAGGATGCTGGGAGAAGATGGTGTGCGTCACCTGGACGAGATACTGAGTCAGGTGAGGGGGCTGGGTGGGCAGGTGTTGCAGCTGGAGGTTGAAGACTGGAAACTGGAATGAGACTGGGAGACTAGAAACAAGCGAATGACCCTCTTTACACCCATTTGAGTGCTGGCCCAACTCTCAAAGGAAGAAAATTGAGGCTCAAAACAGGGAAATGACTTGCTCTAAATCCCAGAGTGGAGACTTGGGGGAGCTGGGGTTTGAGCTGGGCCTCCTGATTCCAAAGCCAGATCTGGAGCTCCTGTGCTGGAGCTTAGAGAGCAGGTGAATGGTCTAGACAGGGCTGGGCAAACTCTTCCTAGACGGGATTGGATAGTAAATATTTTCCGCTGTGTGGTCCAAGAGGCAAATTTGAGGGTACTATGAAGGTAAGTACGTAATATAAGAAGAGATAAAACACGGTTCCTTCCTTTTTTTTTTTTATGAGGAAGATTGTCCCTGAGCTAACATGTGTGCCCATCTTCCTGTTTTGTATGTGGGACGCCGCCACAGCATGGCTTGATGAGCGATGTGTAGGTCCCCGCCCGGGATCGGAACCTGTGAGACTGCTGAAGTGGAGTGTGCGGACTTAACCACTACGCCATCTGGCAGACCCCTAGTTCCATACATTTTTATTGACAGAATTAAAAACTTTGCTTATGGACACTAACTTTGAATTTCATAGAATTTATGTATCATGAAATAACTATTTTTTTCAACCATTTAAAAATACTGTATAAAAACCATTCTTTGTTTGAGTCATAGAAAATCAGGCAGCAGGCCAGATTTGGGTTGTGGGCCGTAGTCAGCGAGCCCCTGATCTCGATCTGTGCTGTCCAGTGCAGTGGCCACTGGCCACATGTGGCTACTGAGCCCTTGGAAAGTATTTAGTGAAAAGAGATGCACCCTAAGTGTAAAATACACACTGAATTTCAAAGACAGTCCAACAAAACAAGTAAAATATCTCAATAATTTTTTATTGTGATTACACATTGAAATGATCATATTTGGATAGATTAATCTAAGTAAAATATATTATTAAAATTGATTTTACCTGTTTCATTTTGTCTTTTTTACTAATTGTCTGATAGTCTTTTAATGTGGCTATTAGAAAATGTTAAATTATATGTGTGTTTGCATTGTGGCTTGCATCATATTTCTGCTGTCCACTGATGCTTGAGGAGTGAGGCCAGGGCCTCAGGGTGACCTGACCCCTCCCTTTGTGTTGAGGGAGGTGGGAGGAGGTGCGGCCAGCGTTCGGGAGTGGAGTGTGGGCCCTGTGGGGACAGTGGATTTCACCAAGGAGAGGTGGAAGGGCAAGTGACGGGGGGATGTAGACCAAGAAGTCTTCCACAGCACTGGGTTTGGGAGGGTGGCTTCAGGGAGTGGCAGGGCTAAGCTGTTTTGAGGGTGGCTGTGAAAGGCTGTGGGGCCAGGCAGGCGGCAAGAAGCAAGAAGTTGCCGAGCCGTCGGCCAGGTGAGCGAGTGGGATGAGGACCCCACCCCGAGGAGCTTCCATCTCTCGACCCCTGGATCAGGAGACAGTGTGAACTTGTCTTCCGTTGTGAGCCCAGCACGTGCCCCTTACTTGGAGCAGTGGTTGGGCCAGTTCACTAGCAGACTGTGGAAAGAGAATGTGAAGATGTGGCATTCACCCCAGAAGCCCTTCCTTCTCACAGCAGGAGAAGCTTCTGCGCCGTTTCCCGCTGCTGACTGGAGACTGTTCCTCTCTCCTCAGCTGCCTCCCCTGCTGCCCAGGCTGGAGAGTCCTGCTGCCCTGGCATTGGCTGGGCACAGATGTGGCTCCTTGTGCTGCTGTTCCTGCCCAGGAGCTGACTCTGCCTTCTCCTGGGCGTGGAGGGACGTGGGAGGTGCCATGGGGATGGGACCGCCCGTGGCTTCCTGTTTCTCCGTGTAGGGAAAGGCGGGGTTTCTGTGTCCCTGTCTGTGGTCTTCCATAAGCAGCACTGGGGTCAGGGCTGAGACCTCAGCATGCCTCTTGTCTCTTGTCCTCCAGTGCCCATACCTCAGAGGAGCACTCGGGGGCCGAGGGGACACTGTACAGAGAGGCCTGCACTCCAGGCTTGGGGCCGCTGGACATGTTACTCTGGGCTTGAGACTGAATGTTTGTGTCCCCCCAAATTCATATGTTGACACCCTGATCCCTAATGTGGTGATATCAGGAGGCGGGACCTTTGAGAGGTGACTTGGTCATGAGGGTGGAGCCCCCATGAATGGGATTAGTGCCCCTATAATGAGGCCCCAGAGAGCTCTCTTGCCCCTTCTGCCATGTGAGGACACAGAGAGAAGACAGCTGCCCGTGAACCAGGAAGCAGGCTCTTACCAGACGCCGAATCTGCCGATGCCTTGATCTTGGACTTCCAGCCTCCAGAGCGGTGAGAAATAAACTTCTGCTGCGTAGAAGCCCCAGCCTCTGGTGCTCTGTTACAGCAGCTCGAATGGACTGAGACGCTCCCCTTCTCGGACGCTTGCTTTTCTTCTCTGTTAATGAGAGGTTTGGACTTGATCTTTGAAATGGATCATCTGTTGATCCTTTTCTAGCCATCGGGGACTAACCTATTAGAAGAAATGGACGAAACAGACGGTGCCACTAGAGGCAGGCATAGCCAGGAAATGAGGGGGTTGTCACCTGTGGTGGGATGGTTTTCTCCTCGAGAGAGGCAGACAGTGTTTGTCCACTGCCTTCCTTGCCAGGCTCGGCATTCAAGGCACTCCGGTGGGTGGTTCTGGTCCAACTTTCCAGCCTTATGCCCATCCTGCCCTTATGCGTGGAGTCAGGGTTGTAACTGCACACAAACACACAGAAAGTTCTGCCCCCTCACCCTCCTTAATGTCTCTCATTGCCCCGTCCTCTCATGGAGTATTGCCATCACAGTACTCACTGACTTCCTGTTTCCTGTGGATAAATGGAACCCTTTGTCATGGCACCCTGCCCAACAGCACAGTCTCAACTCCTCTCTGTCACGTGGGGTCACTCACAGTCCTCTGAACAGCCTGTGCTTTCTCAAGTGCTGAGCCTTTGTTCAGCCAGTCTCCTCTGCCTGTACCCCCTTCTCCCCATCTCTGCCTGGAGAACCCCCATTCAGTCTTCATGGTGCAGCCCTGGCGTCTGCTCCTGTGGGAAGGCTTGTCCTTCCCATCCATCTCCCCAGCTTGGTTCGGTGTCCCTCCTGAGTGTCCTTGTCCTTCTGTGCTTCCCTGATATAGCATTCATCTCACCACATGGCAAGTAGACTCAGCTCCCAGGGCAGGGGTGGCCTCTGACAGTGGAGGCCAGCGGGTTACCCAGGACAGGTGTTTGGTGACATTCTCCAAAAGGCTGACTGACTGACTGAACGACAGCTTTCCTCTAGTGTGTCCCTTCACTGTCATTAACACAAAAGCCTATTGTGAAGACCGGGCACCTACTCTGTCCCTGCCTTCCTTATGCAAGCAGCTCAGCTCATTTCTCAGTGTCCCTTGCTGTAAGGTGAGGCCACATGACAGAGTTCTAACCAATGGAATGTGAGTGGAGGTGATGTGTGCCCCTTGCAGGCCTGGACCATTAAGACTCTCACACTAGTTCCTCTCTGCTCATTTCATTCTGCCAGCTGCATGCAGATGACAAGGCCCGAGGGGATGGCAGAGCCACAAGATGGAAAGGGCCTGGGTTCTTAAATGTCTGTGTGGAGGAGAGATGCTTTTCTGGCCTGACCACCCAGCCAGGACTGGTACTCTGTAAGAAGCCGTCTTCTGTGGTGTTTAGATCGAGTGGGTGCTACAATGGAGCCCGCCCTGACTGCTATTCCTGTAATGCAAACCCGAGTGCAGGTGACAGAGGAATAAAGGAGCATTCAGGTTTAGATGGTGGGTCGGATGGGGGAGGTGAGGGGGTGTGCATCAGGGCTGACTCGCCCATGTTCCTGGCCTACACAGGTGGCTCGCTGGTGGAGGCATTCTCTGTGGCCAAGAACACTGGCCGAGGGGCTGGCCTCAGGGAATGCCATGTGTTCAGTTTTGGACATGCTGAGATTGAGGTGACTTGCCGACAATTTAGGAGAGATGTTGAGGGTTTAGAGTTCAGAAAACAGTTCTGTCCTGGAGGGTTGTAGGCGTGTTGATGGCATTCGAAGCTGAGATATGAATAAATGAGTGAACAGATGAATTGTTGCATGATCAGAAACCGAGGCTCAAAGAGAGAGTCCTGTGGGCCCACACTGACTTTAGTGGCAGTGCTACCGTAGACGTAAAGAACCTCCAAGGCTGGCCTTCTGAGGAGGTGCTGCTGCCTCTCAGAGGGCAGACAGGCCTTCCCCAGTTTTGTGGGCTTTTCCTCAGCCTGGTCAGGGCAGTGGGTCCTAAGTCTGGCCCTAGCCTGAGACTGGTTGCTTGGAGTGTTTGATAAAAGTGAGCATCCAGCCCCAGGGGCCTGGGAATCTGAAGTTTTAAAAGCTACATGGGGGATTGTGACATGAAGCCAGGCTGGGCCCCCTGCCTGCTGTGTCCACTGTATGCAGCCTGCGAGCTCCGAGGAGACGGGGAGGACTGGGTCTGTATGTGGATCACATATTCCATTGAGGTCTCATTCCAGGTAAGTGTCCCAGACATTTCCGATTGGCCTCTGGTGGGCAGAGCTGCCTCTGAGTCTCAAGCTAGGCACAGGGTAGCTGTCGCAAGAATGTGACCATGCGGGGACCGTTGGCTGGCAGAGTTTCTCCAGATCTTCCCAGTCTGCTCTGAGGACCCCACCTGAGACACATGAGGGGACCCCAGCAGCTGAAGTAGTCTTCCCTTGGATGCTTCTATCGTCTTCTTCATCAGCAGTCCTAGCAGCTCCCACGTAGACCGGCTGCCTGCCGGGCACTGAGCTACGCATGCAGCAGACATTCTCTCTGCTCCTTGCAGCAGTGCTGAGAGGCAGGGCTTGTCATCCGTTTTAAAGGTGAAGAAGCTGAGCTGCACAGAGGCCTAGTCACAGACTGACATCTCAGATGCTTTCCGTCAATGAAAATGAATGTAGGAGGTCCGGGAGTACCACATTAGCACCTAGTGGGAGTTTGGGAGCTGGGGCGAGCTGGACAGCACCTGCCCCCCCTGCCGGGGGGCACACGACTCAGCTCCTGCTGAGTATGGACACGTGGGACTCTGGCCCAGTGTGACTTCATCTAACAATTTTCCGAAAGTAACTGGAAATACAACACTTTTTAGAAATATCATACTTCGTAAATGTTGGTAGATAAAATTTTTTTTTTTTTTTGTGGAAGATTAGCCCTGAGCTAACTGCCACCAATCCTCCTCTTTTTGCTGAGGAAGACTGGCCCTCAGCTAACATCTGTGCCCATCTTCCTCTACTTTATATGTGGGACGCCTACCACAGCATGGCATGCCAAGCAGTGCCATGTCTGCACCTGGGATCTGAACCGGCGAACCCCAGGCCGCCAAAGTGGAACGTGCACGCTTAACCGCTGCGCCACCGGCCCGCCCCAGTAAATAATTTTTAAAGATATTCAAAAGCTGTGTAGGGCAAGTAAGCACATCTGAGAGTCAGATTCAGCCCCCAAGGAATCAATTTGTAACCCCTGATTAAGAGATCTTTTATTCATTCTGCAGGTATTGGTGTGCCCACTGGAGGTGTCGGAGTGAAGGAGACAGACTGGGTGCAGGATCTCATCGAGTTCACGGCCAAAGTCAATATTGCGTGGTCTGTGATCTGAGAGGGGCCCTTCTTTGGGGCATGACAGAGCACTTCCTGGAGGAAGCAGACGTCTGATGGATGTTTTATTAGTCACCTAGAGCTGCCTTAACAGACACCAGCAGCTGGGTGGCACACAACAACACAAGTTTATTCTCTCTCAGTTCCTGAGTCTAGAAGTCCCAAATCCAGGCATTGGCAGGGCCGTGCTCCTTCTGCAGGCTCAGGGGAGAGTCTGTTCCACGCCTCTCTCCCAGCTTCTGGTGTTGCTGGCAGTCCTTGGTGTTCCCTGGTGCTAAGGACCAAATGTTTGTGTCCCCCCAAATTCGTATGTTGAAACCCTAATCCCCAATATGATGGTGTTTGGAAATGGGGCCTTTGAGAGACAATTTAGTTTAGCTGAGGTCATGAGGGTGAGGCCCTCATGAAGGTATTAGTGAGCTTAGAGACAAGAGAGAGCTTGCATCTCTCTTCACTCTCTGCCATGTGAGGATGCAATGACGAGATGGCCATCTGCAAACTAGCAGGTGGGTCCTCACTAGACACCAGATCTGCCAGCACCTTATCTTGGACTTCCCAGCCTCCAGAACTGTGAGAAAGAAATGTTTGTTGTTTAAGCCCCCCTGTCTATGGTATTTTGTTATGGCAGTCTTAACTGACTATAAGACACTTGGTTTGTAGACTCATCACGCCAGTCTCTGCCTCTATGATCACACGGCATTTCCCTCATGTCGCTCTGTCTCTGTGCGTCTTCTCTTCTCATATGGCAGCAGTCAGATTAGATTGTGGGCCCACCCTACTCCAGTCTGATCTCATCTTAACTTGATTACATCTGCAAAGACCCTATTTCCAAATAAGGTCACATGCACAGGTAGCAAGGGTTCGAAGTTGAACAGATCTTTTTGGGGGATACTATTCAACCCACAATAGATATGTGGAGTAAGCAGGGGAAATTTGAGGAAGAGTATTCCAGGCAGAGGGAACAGCAGATGCAAAGGCACCTCCAGAGGCAGACGGGTGCAGGTGAGTTCCAGGAAATAAAAGAAATTCATCCCAGCTAGAGTGGAGAGTGGGTATAAGATGTGGCTGAGGTGGCCCATGCCGGGCTTCCCACAAGCTGTGTGGAATGGGCAGTCTTGGCTAGTCTGCAATTCGAGATAAATGCCCAGATCTCAGCAGCTTCACACAGTACAGCTTTATTTCTTGCTCGTGTCAAGTCCGGTATATGTGGCCACATATGTAGCTCTGTCATGCAGAACACATGGTCTCCAGGGGAAGACATGTCTGGGGGAAGCCCCCAGTATCAACCACCCAGGCCTGGAAGTGACCCTTCCACTCACAGGCCACACACAAGGGAGGTTGGCAGGGGGCACGATTTCTGTGAGCCCCAACTCTCTCTCTTACCCTATTCAGGGTTAGGACTTAATCCTCAGGGCACTGGGAAGCCAGCCAGGGTTTTCATGCACAATGTGGAGTGTGGCAAGATCTGACTTGTGTTTTAGAAAGTTTCCTACAGCTGGAGGCAGAGTCAGCCCTGAAGCCAGAGAGCCGGAGCCCATGGGGCTGTGGTGGGGGGAGTGGCCTGAGTGGAAATTGGTCATAGCAGTCACAACATTTTTGCAGGTAACTCCTGCAACTTCCACCTTGCAGGCTCAGCCCCAACGAAAGGAGATGTGAGAAAAATTAGTGTAATTTAAAAAACTTTCAAAATGCATTTTGCGTCTGTCCTCTCTATTCTAGATTGGCAATTGTATTTATTCTTACACGTAGATTGCTTGACAGCATGAATCTCCAAAGCCAGGGGACTGTGCTCTGTGGGCCGCTCAAGGGATTTTCAGGCATGACTGCGCTCCTTGCTGATTGGAGAACCTCACTGTCATGGAAGATGCCCTCTACTCAGGGTCTGTAACTGGGACTCAATAACAGGAGCAAGATCCGTGTGTCAGAGGGACTTCTTGCTGCTTCCAGCCAGCCCGGTGCCCTGCCTCTGTCGGAAACGCCCTTGGAGGCAGTATGAAAGCATTCTGTGCTGAGACGGACCCCCACTTGTCTGCAGTTCTTTACAGAAATATTAAGAAATATTTTCTAAGCCATTGCTTCATTTGAGCCTCAGAATAATTTAATCTGATACGAGATCTAATTTAGAACAAGAAACTTGGGGTCCGAGACAGCCCTTGTCCTACAGTAGCCGGGAGCCCTGGAAACAATTCCCAATGTGGAGTTGAAAGTGCTGGCTTTGAGGCTGTGATTTTAGCTGTGTGACTTCAACGCTTTCGTGTATCAACTATAGATAATTGCACAAAGCTATTTTGAAGCTCCAATGAAGCAATGTTGGTGAAAGCAATTTGCGAACTGTGAAGCACTGAACAAATGT